GCGGTGTGGATCAGTTGAGGCCTGATGGAGGGTTTGTACTGCAGCGGCTGGCCCAGGAGGGAGTAGTGTGCTTCACCTGGACCCAACCAAAACACACAGATCTGGAGGTTATTCGCATATTAAAACCTAAAGACAGAGCTCCTCGGAGGTTGTGGTCTGGCTCCCACCTTGTCCACTGTGGCAGAAGGCTGCGGGCAGCTGCGGGTGGGGGGGCAGGACGGGCACCAGGCCGGCCGGCAGCCCCTTGATGCTGGGGGGGAGGCAGGGCGAGGGGGCGAGCGCCGGGGAGGAGGGCAGGCTGCTCTACACACAACCCGCCGGGCGGGGGACAGGAAACGGGGAGCACACACAATTTCATTCAAAAGAGAAAACGGAGACTTAAAAAAAACACTTTTAACCTGCGCTGGGGGCCAGCAGAAGCAATGTTGATGTAAATAAACCCAACAAGTTTGTCTCTTGGCATATGATGTCTAGCTATCCCTCCCAAAGTGTATCCTTATTTTGGGGTTGTATGACGATGAACCTACAATGGTGACTAAGATGTTTATTTATGGAAAACTTCATATTGTCAACATTTGTGTCATGTACCTTTAATGCATGTTTGTATCATTGCTCTGCAAAAATAATAAAAGTCTAAAGTTCTAAAAAACAAAAAAAAAAGAGAAAACGGCTCCGGCTGATTCTAAGTAACTCTGCTGTTCAAGGGCTTCTGCTAATGTAGCGTCCCGTCCACATTAGTCCCGCTAATGCCCCATTATGAGGACTATTTTCTCCTCGTTTTGGGGCTCCATTTGCGGAGTCTATTTACGCCAACGTCTAACCCAGTGTTTTTCAACCTTTTTTGACCCAAGGTTCATTTTTTAATTTAAAAAATCATGAGGCACACCACCAACCAAAAATGTCAAACAAATCTGTAGGCGCCTATAGTAACACTATAGTTATTCTTATCTTATCTTAAGTGTCTCGAATAGAAATCAAATAAACACAAAAATGTATTTTTTATCATATTTTATATTTCTTCTCTGAAATTGCACTTAACATGTCGCTTCAATATACAAAATTATATACAAAATCTAGTCATAAGGAATTATTACATGATTACGCCACCAGTACAGCACAGACACTCAAAAATGGAATATTATTTGCAGAAAATTAATTCCTTATCAAAAAATCTTTTTAGACCAATTAGGTGAAATAGGATGATTTTCTACGGCACACCTGACCATCACTAGTGTGCCGAGGCACAGTGGTTGAAAAACACTGCTCTAATGTGGCGCCCCGTCCACATTAGTCCCGCTAATGTCCCGTTATGAGGACTATTTTCTCCTCGTTTCGGGGCTCCATTTGCGGAGTCTGTTTACCCCGACGTCTAACCTCCTAGAGACGGCGTAAAGGCTGATTCTGGCTGCGGGCGACAGCCCCCCCGTCTCTATCGG